ATCCGTGCCCAGCCAAGCCCTCGTCAGCGACCCGGTGTCAGGGCCCTTTGGTGCGATGGCATCGTACAGCATCATGCAGCTAACTAACGGAGCAACCCACAGGGTGAGGTAATATTCTGCTGGCATCTTTACTGGTAGCATCTTTACAAAAACAAGAATCTGAGATAGGTTTGTGTAATACTAACATGAGAGTTTGGGGCTGTATTCATATGCTTTTTATCTTGCCCTACACCGTATTTCGAAAAACATCGGTGCTTACTGATCCACCGGTAAATGGTTGAGAACAAAGAGATTCTATTTGGTGGTTGTTTGACCTACCACGCTGACCCGAGTTTCAGCTCTGAACCAATAAATCTTGCAAACCGTCCGGAAATGTACAGGAAAATGTCTGATGCAAATAAAGCACATCCAATATCTAAATTCAACCATAAGAAGGATCATAAAGGTGTGTTTCAATTGTCTGTATAAATGCCACAAACCAATGTCTCAAGTCGCTCATTTGGGTTTGTCCTGAAAAGACGAAATCGGTGTAGTTTGCCAAACCATCTCTTTCCCCTAATGAAAAATTACCAATAAGTGGAATTGGGATCCAACATATACTAGACAGCACCGAAAAATCGCACCCACAATAAATGTCGTATAATATGCATAAATATGATATATTATATAATGTCATATGCCATATTCATCCAATTTCATACATATCTATACAACATGTTAAATATTTATACATTTTCTACCATTTTATTTTTACACCAGATGTATCGTACGTAACCACCCAATCTGCTCCCACGCGGTTCAGCACTTTGGCCGGTCCCCACAAACGCTGGGCGTCAGGCGCAGCCGCTCCTCTGCCAAAGGGGCTTCGAATGATGGGCCCTTCCCAGGGTTGTGTTGGGCCCATTGGGTTGTGGGGAGGCAACCATCAAAAATAACTTTAATAAAATCATTTAAAAAAAACTGGAATGGTTAGAACCATCCTGAAATCGTTGCTTTGGATTTTTGTTGACATATGAAAATATGAAATACCACCCACATATAGGCCTACACAATTTCTAGATCCAAGATGGATGATGCAAGGCTAAACCAATGTTTCATGTTTAATTCATTTTTGGGGTTTCCACCTGGTGGGTGTTCACTGTTTCACGCTGTTCTAGCGAAATCCTAGGTGAGACGCTGGCGCCAAGCAGATCCGTATACCTGCAAGGGGACCATTTGAAAAATTACAAAGAAACTTTTTCTATGGGATCATGATGCTCATGATCCAATGGCTCAACTGAGCTATCCTGGTTTTCAGGAATCCATAAGTCGGTGTCATGATTTGGCGGACACACTCTGGAATTCACGGGGTACTCTGGAAGAGTGAGTTGATACAAACATGGCTGCCACAGCAAGGCGTTCAGGGCCACCGCGGCCAAGTAAGGCACAGCCGGAAGCAGACTCGTTTGTTCTGTAAACAGAAACACCAGCCAGAAAGGGACCCATATCCTGCTCTTTGCTCAAGATGGTCTCAAAAAATAAAGAATAGATCCTATAGATTACCAGAACGGTGGATTCACAAGAGGGAAACACAAAACACATCTACAGCAAATCTAAGTCTCACATTCACCATCATGATGCAGCCTCCCGCCATTGTGAGAGCCAGCCCAAACCTGCTGCGCTGGTACATCCGAGGGATGAGAAGACCCGAAAGTAGCACAAAGGCACGGATTGCGCCAGTGAGAGCTAGGGCATTTATGCTCCACTGCATCGCAATGCGGAGACAAAACGCAGCGTAGGAAACTCCAGAGAGGTCTGGACGCATCATGAAGTGGACACGGTGCACAATATCAGGGAAGATGCATACCTGGTGGTTTGTGGTTTCAACTCCCGGAAAGATCATCGGCACTTTTGGCGGATGGACAAATATAAACCTGAAAAACCAATAAGAACCACATACCCTCTGGTAAACGTTTACATAACTATGGAAAATCACAATTTTTAATGGGAAAACTCACTATTTCTATGGCCATTTTCAATAGCTATGTTAAATTACCAGAGGGTATTTGTTTGAATCCCATGGTCCCATTTGCCAAGCAGCAGCAGCCTCCAGTCAATTTACCCGGCAACACCCGGCAACTTTCCGCAGCGTGGATTGACGATCTTCTACTACTAGCAGACTCCAGGAATCATGAACTTGATGACTTGATGTGAACCAAATATTGGAGGTTTCCTAAAATGGGGGTACTCCCAAAACGGATGGCTTAGAATGGAAAATCCTGCTCAAATGAATGATTTGGGGGTACCACCATTTATGGAAACCTCCATATTGGATAGTCCACTTTCCAGGTATCTCGTTCATCCAAGATACACATGCCACTTCCATCACATGGCTGAATTGCATAGGGCCACCGCGGAATTGTTCCAGCACAGCGGAAGATAACTTCTCCTGGACCAAGGTGTTGAAGCGCTCCAAAGACGAGTTTAGCTGGTCGACTTTGTTATCTTCAGTGGCACACCACTTCCTTGGAACTCCGGACATTGAGGGGTGCCTCCGATCCGTAGGTAACAAGCTATACCCCAGTCATGGGTAGTTATATAAATGGGATATATATATATATATATGTGGGATGTACATCAAAAGAGGGCCACAACAAAGTTATCAAACCATATCCCGGTCATGATGGATTTTCCCAGAATTTCCCATTGGGAAAATAAACAACAAAAGACTCGGCTCCAGCTTCTGTATTTTTTGATAGATCTGATCTCGGTCACATTGCATCAGCCGTCCAGTGTGGGGATGACGATGGTTGTTGGAACAGCAAAAACATTCGGACTCTTGCACACGGAAGACTTTAATCTGGCCGGCCAACTTGGCAAAATCGTGCATCGTCTCAATGAGGGTTGAAATTGCAATACCCAGCGTCAGAATGAGAACCAAGGCGAGTTCGAAGAGCAAAAGCCCAAGAAACGCTTTTCTCTCAAGAAGATCCAGGGTGGTCTGGACGCCAAACACAATCAGCACATAGAAGAGGACTACAGACATGAAAGAGGCTCCAAGGGTAACTGGAACGAAGCGGATAGACTTTGCCTGGCAGCGAGGATGGCAGCAAGATCGTGTTCCAAAATTCCAGTGGTTTCTCAATGTTAATCATGCTTTAAAACCATCTTTTCCCTATTAGACTTGGGATTGATATATATATATATATATCTATAGATGTAAATATCCCCATTGGTGTTGGAAGCACTTTCTGAACATCTCTTCCCACTGAAAATGACCTCTTCTTTTCAGGCTGTAACACTGTATATAAGCATTTCGTAAACATCCATGGTAAATCGCCCCAATGTTTGGCCCCTTGAACTTACCAGCTTGCCTTGCCAGGATTGCTGAGATAGGTCGCCAACTCATAGACACACCAAAGCCTTGTGATCCACCGCGGAGACCAAAGGACCGTCAACGTTGAAGAGTTGCGAAGAAATCCGGCGAGGGCCGAGATGCCTTTTTGCTTCAACTCGGGATCATACCTTGGTTGAGGCAGATTTGCATGGCACAAATTATTCAACTTCTCTGATGATAAATTTCCGATTTCATGGGATTAGATCATGTTGTTTATCTTAATGGGTTAGCGAATGAGAATTGAAAACAGCCGCTCCAGGATGCTGTGCTATGCAAAGGCGATCCAAAAATACCACCTGACCCTTCATGAGCAATGCCCGCATGCGCTGCCAAAAGCAGAGGACGACGATGAAGATCAGAAGTGGAACAACCTCTGCACGCCACTTGCCGCCCGTGAGCTCCCAATAGAACTCTCGCAGAAATGCGATCAGACAACTGACCATGAAGGTCACAAGGATCGCAGGTCGAATGTTGGAGATCCATAGCAAAGTCAGAAATTTACCTCGCAAGAACCATAGACAGAACGTTTACCACGTGGCATCAGTCGCACAAACGGAGAAATGAACAAATAAACCAACCAGGAAAAATGGGGGGTTCCTAAATCATGGGTACCCTTAACCATTTGTTTTCTCATTGATAAAAACCACTTTTGGATGATGGGAAACCCCCACATCAAAAATGTGCATGGTCCAATACTAAAGAAAAAAACATGACACGAACACATCACCGCGGTGCCCGCAACCAAAGTTGGCCATGGCTAGCCCAGCTATAGATCAACTTACTTGTCTAGACTGCCCCGCATTGACGGGTCCGCTGAATTTTTGGGGCAAACGCAAACACCTCGGTCCAGAGCAAGTTGCCACTTCGGCCACTGGCCCAGTCATGGCTAAGGAAGTTGTCAATGTGGTCCGTCTGCTGGCTGAGTTTGTACTTCTCAGGGTCAATGCTGTACATCGCCTGATGTTTTCCATGTATATTATGCGTCAATATGATATCATATGTAAGTATATGTCGCTCTTTTGTTCACCCAATCATAAACCCCAATTGAGCATGGTTTCTGACATCCAAACCACTTGTCCAGTGCGCATGGCGGATTTTTGGCTTTTAACCATGATTTATATTGATTTATCGTATGGAATGGTTGCGGTATGTTCCGAGAACTCATGATTTCAAGCGCAAAAAACTACGTTTTTTTTGTGGGCCACCAGACAGTTTTCTGAGGTACAATCTGTTTGATCATCTCAGGTCACCCCAAAGACGGCCATGCTAACAGCCATGAAGCAATGATAATTAAATTGGTTGGTGGTTTCAACCCCTCTGAAAAATATGAGCTCGTCAGTTGGGATGATTGTTCCCATGTAAAATAATCATAAGATCTTGGGCCCCGGAGGGCCAGATTTATTAAGCCAGATTTAAACCTCTAAATAAGAAATATCCAGGTTTTAGGGGTAACCATTCTCCCAACACACCCGTTGCGCATGAATTTTTGACAAACAACTAATAAACCTTAATAAGCGCAATCCTTTGTAGCACCATGTGATTCACCAAATTTGTTGCTTCTTACGACTCAAAGATGCTATTGAGGTAATAACCCTTAATAAGCGGTATGCAATTTTCTGGCTCCAACAAAATAACTCTTATTAAGGAAGGAAATTATATCAGGTGTTGGGAACACATGTGCTTAATAAGGCTTATTTATTTTAAAAAAATATAAAACATGTTCCAAACCACCAACCAGATAAACCATCTGACTTGCCTTTTTCCCCACACGTGTTTTTAGACAGAGCTGTTTTGAAAGGTGACCTGCACGTATTTCAATACCGATACCATCCATGTAGTGCATTCCCGACGGTGATTTTTGGGATAGCTAAACGGACACATGCAGCACCGCACAGGTTTCTAAAGTCAACTGGGTATGTCTCAACATTGGGATTTCCAAAATGTCCAAACGTCAATGAGTTTTCAAGTTTTCTTCCCCACTGGTGGGAATGGCATTTGGGAGTATCCCATCAGATACCCCATGGCTTGAGACAAGCAAGAACGGACCCCGCCGTCACACCTCGCGACCTATCAAACATCTACAATGTGGGGCCCACGGTATACCTAGGCCTGCCGGCTGGGTAAAATTTATTCCGCTAGCCCAGGCTACAAAAATATTGACGCTTCAGTAATTTTTGCCGTCTCAGCCAAAAACTTTGGTTTCAACTGTTTGGCTTTATTCTTGCTGGGTCAGCTGCCATTCTTGCATTTTGTGCACTTTTTTGATATTCACACACCCTGGGGAACATGGGCAGATATGTAGCATGTCAAAGTCCAAGTATGCATTGAAAACAACCAAAATAATTTACGCCAGTTGGTTGGAAATTTACGCCGTTTGGTTGGGAATTTATGCCGTTTCAGTTTGTCGCTTTTTTGGTAAAGATTTTCGAGCTGGACACATGAGTTATGCGTTCTTCATGCGGCGAAAGTCTCCGCCACACCTGCGGAATTGAGAGAATCCCATTCCACTCAAAACATCACGATTTGCTCGAACCATCCAAAATCCAAAACATAAAAAAAACTCCGTTTGAGGGTTGGCCCCTCCAATCCTCCAAAAGTGTTTTTTTACCAAACATTGTTGCCTCGGTTGTTGTAGGTTTTGTATAACTATATATATATATGTATATATATATGTGTATATATAATTATGATATATATAATAGTCAACCATAGTTGGCCTGCTATTTCAATCAACTTGAAAGATGATTACCCAATTAGACAACGCATTTTCCCACTCTTAACCAACTGACCTGTCCCAACTGGGGGACCCAGAAACTCCGAGCCCGAGCCGCTTCCTTGCTCTGCGAGAAATGTCGCCCCCAGCCAGCAAGGCAAAGTTCCAGCCGCACCCCGCGCAGGAGCTCGCCTTCCAGGTCGCTGCGCAGCGAAGCAGTGGGAGAAACTGCGCCTTCCAACTCAGACGGAGAGTCCATGGCGATTTTTTTCGAAGAAATTGCTGAGGATTGGGGGTCAACATGGGTTAATCAAACCGAAAATCCCATCATGGTTTTTCGGTTCAAGTCCATTCCAGCATTTGGGAGGGCAACGCACGATACTGGCAAGTGCCCCTGGTTGGTGGTCTGGGTTGACAAGTTGGGTCATATATCTGGGGTTTGTCTCGAAGCTAGGTACCTCAAAATCCCACGGGCCATCCTTAGTTTCCCTCCCAAAAATAGCGATAATCATGGGGAACAAATTCGCACAACATCACAACACACAACAATTTCCCCTCTTGAGACAAACATAAGTTGCTTCGTACCCTCTGGTAAACTAACATAGCTATGGATAATGTACCATTTATACTTCATTTACGGGATTTACCTATTGAAATAGTGATTTTCGATAGCAATGGTAGTTTACCAGAGCGTATACAGAGTATACGGTACCATTTCTTGAAGTTTCTTTACCCAACTGATTTTTGTGGCGGAAGTTCCCCACTGCTCTTCTGTGACAACGGCCGCCCTTGAGAGCCGAAAACTCGGGCAGCTGTCACTATTTAATTGCGGTCTGTTGCTGGTACACTCATATGGCTTGATATCTTTAATGTAATAATGAGAATAATAATAATAATATTAATGATAATAATATATCTTTACATTATTTTACATGACATTAGATAACGTACCGGTACCGAGTAAAGATATTAATACATATTGATACTACTAAACGGCCGAGTTGAAACCAATTGAAAGAAGCACGAAGAACTCCTAAATGCTGTGCGAAAGGACACCGTTTTGGTTGCGGGCACCATGATCGACGAGATATTTTCAGTAGGGGATGAAACACAAACGACCTTAAATTTCATGTCTACATGTGTATTCATATGTCTACATATGTCTACATATGTCTACAGTCTACACAATCTTGTCTACAGGATATCCTGAAGAACAGCTTGGTTCATATTCAGCAGCTTGGTTCAAAGATGGGACCCCGAGATGGCCATTTCATGGTGAAGATCCAACCACCATACCCTCCTAAGAGGAGCTTGATGGCAGTTCCCCACAACTGATGTTAAACCATCAGTTTTGTCTTTGTGAAATCACCAGTCGTTTCTTGCAAATTTTCAAAATTCACGTCGTGAAAAACCCGCATGTTGCTCGATTCTTGAACCATCTTTAACCATGTGCCAAGATTTTTCTTGGTATCGCCCAGAAGCGTCGGTGAAAATCCTCAAATCCCCCGCAGCGGGTCCATGGCGTCAGCAGCGACCTCATGCCGCAGGACGTGGGGCTGGGCCTCGTGCTGCGGGCCAGCGGCCCAGGGCTGGGGGAGGTGGATCGACGACTGGGATTGCAACGAAAATGGGGAGATACCAACAGAAATGCTGGGAACATGGTGATAGAATGCGAAATTCATGGGATTTTCCCATGAAAACTAATGTATCATAACTCACTATATGATTGTGACATATTGTGACATGATATGACACATGGGATTATGGATTATATAAAAAACGTGTCATTTTGAATGTCCCCAGATCAAGTTATCGTTATTTTTTCTCTTATCGTTTTCTGGGCCGGCAATGCATTTGTAGTGCTAAGGGGTAGGCCAAGCTAAAATGAAAGGCCGGGGGTTATTATACTGTCCCACATGACATGTATTGATACGTATTGATATGTAGTATCTATAGTAGCTGCTAATGAAATATCAACCTATCACGGGGAATTCAATCCCAAGAATATCCAAGAATAACCCGCAACTATGTAGCAACCCACAAAAAGTCTCAGAAACAGCTCAATTTTGCACTACTTCATAAAAGGATTTAAATGCATATTGTAATTCTTTTTTTGGGGGGGTTGCTACTGCTATATGGAGATGATTTGTATTTGCTCTAGGAGTTGACAAATAGGTTGTTTCGGGCTATGGGTCAATTGAATAACCCACCATTGGATGGTTCATATCTAACCAGCTGGATCAGTATCCTTTGTAAAAAGGGATGTGAAGTGACCTACCCTCTAGAAAGATCCCTCGTAAGACTCTAGTTGTTTGATATATACTGCATGGTGGGGGCCACCTACCCCTCTGAAAAATTATGGACTTCGTCAGTTGGGGTGATGAAATTGCCAATATATGGAAAAATCAAAGCCATGTTCCAAACCACCAACCAGAATATATATATATATCTATATATATATATCTATATCTATATATATATATCTATATATTATATATATCAGATGTTTAAATAGAACATCATCGAACGAAATGGGCCATCTATACAGCAAACTGCTGGTCATTAACAGATGCTATAGATTACCAGGGTAAATTACTTTACTTCGAGTTATCCCCACCATGACATTTATACGTTTTGTTACTCTGACATATCTTCTGGCATTCTATCTGGCATATCTTCTGGCATTCTACCTGGCATATCTTTTGGCATATGTTCTGGCATATCTTCTGGCATTCCATCTGGCATTCTATCTGGCATATCTTCTGACACATTATCTGGCAAATCTTCTGGCATTCTATCTGGCAAACATTCTGGCACTTTATCTGGCATATCTTCTGGCATTCTATCTGACATTTTATCTGGCATTCTATCTGGCATACCTTCTGGCATTCTATCTGGCATATCTTCTAACATTCTATCTGGCATATCTTCTGGCACTCTATCTGGCATATCTTCTAACATTCTATCTGGCATATCTTCTGGCACTCTATCTGGCATATCTTATGGCATTTTATCTGGCATATCTTCTGGCATTCTATCTGACATTCTATCTGGCATATCTTCTGGCATTCTATCTGGCGTTGAGGTCCAGCGGTGCGCGCTGAGCTGGGAAGGTCCCAGGTTGAGGTCCAGCGGTGCGCACTGAGCTCGGAAGGTCCCAGGTTAAGGTCCAGCGGTGCGCGCTGAGCTGGCAAAATCCCAGGTTGAGGTCCAGCGGTGCGCACTGAGCTGGGAAGGTCCCAGGTTGAGGTCCAGCGGTGCGCACTGAGCTGGGAAAGTCCCAGGTTGAGGTCCAGCGGTGCGCACTGAGCTGGGATTGTCTCAGGTTGAGGTCCAGCAGTGCGCGCTGGGAAGTTGGCGAAGAGCTTGGCGAAGAGTTGGCAAGGCGGAAGTTGAGGTGGAAGTTGATGCAGACATGGTCGAGGAGAAACTGGAGGAGGAGGCGGAGGAGGAGGAGCAGGAGGAGGATGAGGAGAACAGCTCTGATAAAATCTAACAACCCTCACCTGGCAGGTGGGGAAAAATGACCGATTTCCACATCTTGACCTGTCAGGTGATGCATAGCAAGGCCCGGATCAGAAGATCACCACTTCCAAGCTGAAAAGTCCATGGATTGATGCTAAATGGAATGTTATCCGTGTTCAAAATGGATGGTTGACACCCAAAAAAAACATCAGGAAAGAGGTGAAGTTAGGGTAACAAGGTAACATATTTAGTAGGTCTTTACCTTTCTATCTGGCGGTTATACTTTGACACATTTTCATCCTCGCTCAAAGCCCATTTCTCAGAGGTGACCCTTGTGTACAGCCCCACTTCCACCATACATATTGGAAGATCAATGGAATATGAACCACGGAAATCTTCAAGGGGTATACATGGATTACCGTTATAATATACTTTCTACATCCATCTTCTACCCCAATTTGGAATGCTTTGGGCGCAGTCGACCGTTGCTTCTCGTGAATTTTCCCGGCCTCGTGAGGAGGAAATCTGTTGACTGGTCTGGCCCAAAGCAGCCTGAGGCGGCGAATTCCCAACGATAGCTATGCGAAAAAGGGCGTAAACTCCCTCATAGGACTGGAAATCTATTGGAATCTATTATGGTTATTAGATGATTTATGATGATTTATGATGATTTATTAGATTTATTAGATGGCATTCCCTGATGATGAAATAAAGATGGTTACCCGGCCTGGTAAACGTTTACATAACTATATGGAAAGACACACCACTTTTTTATGGGAAAACTCACTATTTCTATGGCCATTTTCCAGTTCGCAAACTGTTAAAATTACCAGAGGCTAGGTGGAGTCCCGAAAAAAGCATAAACCAATAGAAATCATCCGCATAAGATCCACCATAGACTTAGTCCAAGAATAGGGTTTTACCGGTACACCCCAAAATGGTAATTCTTCAATAGTGAAAACATCATGCTTTACCAATATTATTTACCCATGATTTCCCGAACATACCCATCTTAGATGGCCGGCCGGCCTTTTTGTTTCGGACAGCCAACCCAGACCTCACCTCCAGCTCTTCGTAGGCGTTGCGCTGCACCGTCTGGGTGTTCTGCAACCTGGGGAGTTTATTCTCCATTGATCATGGAATTTTCCAGTTCGCTAATTCGCTATGTTCAATAAGAGGGGTTTTCCATTTTTACACTTCCATGGCAATTAAGAGTCCAGCTCTTGTAGCCGCATGCATTCGCTCTCTAGTTGGAAAATCTGTACAAAAATCGCAAATCACTGACAAACAGGGGCGAACCAATCCATAGAGCTCTTTTTTCGGATTTCTAGTCCAATGTTTTGAGTGTGTCAAGACACAAGTAGATCGCTGAGAGTTTCCGATCGGTTTGGGTACTCACCTACCAACTATGTGTTCACATTGGTTGGTCAACTTTCAATGTTTCAAAGATTTTTTCTTGTGTATTCTGAAAGTAGGGTACCCCAGGGACTATAAACATCTGTCCCACTGTTGACAATTTGGGGGAAAACTGCATTTGGGACAAAGCCACCTTGCTTTCATGATAAAATCCCTGCAATGTAACCAAAGTGATTACTACATCCAAGACTCAACCATCCCCCAAAAAAGCATCTCATTCCACTCTTGGTGCGCTTGATTCGAAACAATGTTTCTTGGTTACTGACATACTGACAGTTATAATATAGATACATATATACATATATATGTACAATTTCTGATGTTAATCAAACTCTGACATTCATCAGCTGATTGACCCAAAACTAAATCATTCCTGCA